GTGAGTCTACCAGTGAGCGGTAAGCTGCGGTGGCTGACAAGACGCCGGTATAAAACTGTCCCGCTACGGATAAGCAGCCAAAGCGATCGATGGGTCAGCCCGCAGGGTTTCCACCTTTCCAGAGGGCAGTTTTTTTTTTGTCCAGAGATACAGTTGACCATGACTGACCACACCACCGTCCTGCAAACATTGTTGCCTCTCTAGGGTGACACGCCCATTCCCATCTCGACAGACCCGAACCATCCGCGCTGGCGGTCAGCGCCACTCACAATGTGTCGACAGATCGACACAAATGAAAAAATCAATATTTTTGTTTTTCATCCAAGAAATACCGCTAAAACATTATCAACTTTAGATGCGTTGAAAGGAGCGAGGCCCCGAATGACCCCCGTTAACCTTTGGATTCGCCAGGAACGTGGCCCCGAATGACCCCCGTCGCCCTTTGGATTCGCTAGGAGCGTGGCCCCGAATGACCCCCGTCGCCCTTTGGATTCGCCAGTGCTTCCGCATTGTCACAGAATGGCACAAGGATGATGACCTAGCATGAGGTCAGCTTGTGTGCCGGAGGCGTGTGATGTTAGGGACGAACCGGTGTTAGGTTCCAGAGCGACTGACGAAATTAGGTGCCCGTTGCCGTATTCCAATGAACGGTTGCCGATTCGGATTGAAAAGGTGTGGTTTCTTAGCAACCAAGCGTCCATATTGAGTGTCTCTTTACAGTACCGTGGAACATTTTAACGCATATTCTTAAAATGCCTTTCCGAAAAGATAAGAGTTGCTTAATTCACTGATGAAATAAATTGACCATTGTCTAGCTAGGCTGCAAGCTGCCGACGTAAAATGCAAAATGACAAAACATAATGCCCTTTGTCGATATTAAATGCCTCTGCCGTTGTTCAATGACCCTGGTCGAATATCAACAGATGCTAGTCTAAATCGGTGAAACGTGTCGAAATGCGTGCTCCAGTGTCGAGTTGTTGGAGTGCCTGTCGAGATAAGGTGCTCGCTGCCGTATTTGAATGAACGGATGCCGATTCGGATTGAAAAAAGGTGTATGAGGCGGCACCCGCCCCACCCCTTCTCGGCCGACGAGGGTTAATGTAATAGTTCATGTACATGTATGCGCAGATATAGTATCATCTCAGCTGAAATATATCTCTAATTCATGTTCGACACATTCTAGTGTTGTTACAAAAATTAACTCATTATATTTTCAATTTATTTGACTATTATGCCTGACGAATATTTATTTTTAAAAAATAGGTGCTATCTCCAAAATGATTTTTTTTTTTCGGATCTCGGGGACCACACCATCGGATTCCTTGCAAAATTTTGGTCCAGAAAACACTAAAATTGGAGATAGGTATTTTCAAAAGTTATTTACCGTCTTTTGGGGCAATGTGCCCTCAAAGGCACGTCGCGCATCTTTGATCTATAAGTTGTGCAAATTTTACCGGGCTAGGTGCAACGGTCTGGCCTGTAGTCCACTAGGTCTGTAGTCTGTGTAGTCTGTAGGCCTGTAATATTGATAGCAGTTTTGCTCGTTATATGCTAAAACCACATAATCCGGAGCCATTCGTCTCAAAAATATAAATTGACAGCGCTAGAGAGCGATTTCGATGGTCTTTACCAGATCGCCAAGGTCTTTACCAGATGTGACCAGAGGTGTATGACGTCAGCAAGAAAAAGCCTTGATTTAAAGTTAACGGGAACAGATTCGCCTAACAGACTGGTCGTTTTAAAAATTGTGTTCAAGATTGTCCGCAAGCAGCATGTTGAGAAGACACGGGCAGATGGAGCGCGAATCGTCGTAAAGCTATTCAGAATGCTTGCTTCTGATTGGGTAATATTCTTTGACGTTTCAAGCTGGAGAACTCAATAAGGCTTTCCTTATTCCTAATACATTTTGCGCGTTTTTGTTTGCTGGTGGTCAAGGCAAACAAACAAAAACCAAGATACCAATAAGAAACCAAAAACCCTTTTGCGCGTGTGTTTGTATTTTTCCAGTAGCTTTGCTGTCAAGCAAAGCCGTTCAACCGAAGCCGTTGTTGATGAAGCAAAGCTGTTTTCTAGTGAAATTTTAAGTTACCAGTGAGTATTCGCAATGCTGTGATTTTTTTAGAAATTAAATTGACTGAGAGGGATCCAAATTATTTCTGACATAAAGCACCAGTTCAGGTCTAGGTCATTTTGTCAGCAAAGCAAAGCAAAACAAAGCAAAGCTTTGCAGGGCAGGCAGGAGCAAAGCAGGACAGGCAGGGCAGGCAGGCAGGCAGGCAGGCACGGCACGGCACGGCACGGCACGGCACGGCACGGCACGGCACGGCACGGCACGGCATATCACTGGCTTTGAATGGGAAATTCTCATTGCACAGTCTTTTATATGCATGTCTGTTGGATTTTTCACGGGTGATTCTCACGTCTGGACCCGCAAGGACTTGGAACGTCTGGACGTCACACAGGCCGCCGCAAGTCCGTCTGGCGGTGGTCACCTTGTCTGCCGGCGGCGGAGGTCACCGCGCGCCGGTCTGCTGGAGGTCACTGCGCGCCCGTCTGCCGGGGGTCACTGCGCGCCAGTTTGCCGCGACTCCTGCTGGCTGTTGGTCTACACTCGGTGGAGAGTAGTTAATTTTAGCAATTGTAGTAAATCCTAGTAAATTGGAAGAAACTTGATTAGTTGTAGGCTTCTTGAATAGATCTATCGTTCTGCCAATTAGTACCTACCAATTAGGTACTAATTGTAATTGGGTGATCTTGCTGCAACTGCTTACCTGAGCAGCTGTTGTGTTCAGTGTTTATCCTGATGTACACAAATAATGTGTGCAACTGTTTGAACTACCTACGTCGACCGAACAAAGTGATCTGGGCTAGGCTATAGGATTGACAGTGATTTGGGAATCTAACCTTGGGAAAAGAATATAAATGATGGTGCTTCAGAGGTGTTATGGAGAAGCGTCCCTGAAGTTGTGTCAGTCGCTATCCATGCCCGGATGGCCAAAACCAAGATTACATATAAACACCGCGAAAAAAAACTCAGTATTATCACAACAATGTATTTAACAACACTCAAAGGTTGGTTACACACCAGTTCTTCAGGCAACCCCACGCAAACACAGACTGCTGATGCCAACACCATTTGTCAATGCGGCTCAATATCAGCTATCAGCGCTCTAAATCACATCAGGTGTTCAAACTTCAACGACAAGGTTTGTGCCACTGGTGCAAGTTGTGCTATCATCACATTTGATAAAATGAAATCAGTCAGCAGTGATCAACGTCAGACATGGGCGTGAAGATCAAACATTACTTTTCGCACCATCAGCACCATTTAGTCGTGTTCCAAAGATACCTTATTACATCAACATCAAAGCACAACCAGGCACCACTAACAGTTATGCCGAAAGCACACAACACAATTTTGTAATTATTTTGATAACCTACAGGATGTTTGAAACTAGCTATCTATTGGCCATAGCTCCGAAATCTAGAATCATATTGAACATTCAGATGGGTACCTAAATTAACGTAAATTCAACCCAAATTCAATTTTCTGAACTGTTCTGCATCGTGAATTTTGCCATGCATGGCTTGAATTATTGATGAGGTGAAGCACTTCGTAATTCAAATTATTATACATTTGAATTTGATTCACCACTGCTCCACCCAATACTCTTCATGGCTATATCACTTGAAGTTTTATTACCAAAGTCTTTTTGAGCCACAAGTAGGACGAACTTTGGTTCGTTTCAAAATAAAATAAAAATGAAATTGTTTGAAAAATGTTTCGTCGAAAAAAATACACACAAATAGCCATAAACGCTTGCGCAATTATCGAAACTTGCACGCAATGTCTGTAGGACATTGATTCACCATAACTTGTAGCGAATTGTAGTTCGCTACTTTCACACCAGGTGGCTTCGTGACGTGTATGACGTCACATCCATAAATTACGTCATCACTTAAAATTTAGTTTTCATCATTTTCATCAACATTTGGCCAATTAACCCGCGCCCTGTTGGGGGGGGGGGCTATTTTTTGCCCCGTCATTTGACCTCAGCTGCCCTCATTTGACCTGACCCATGGATAAGTACACCAAACAAAGAAGCACCAGGTGACCTGCCGTTAAAGGGACTATCCCACCTTCTAAAATGTTGTTAAAACCAGTTAAATTGTGCCCGACTTTATAGATTGGATGACCAGGAATACGGTTCTGGCATTTATTTTTCATTAAACATCTTAGGCTTCCCATATTCCAAACACAAACTTTCAAATATGTGACGTCACAGCCCAAAATTACCTCCTTCCCCAGGCCACATTACTGTCATAAAGCTGATTCTTTTTACTCTGTAGGCACCACAACAAAGTTCAGACCAAGTTTTAAGCGATTTTTCAACGAACAAACCCATTTAAATCAGAATGACTAAACGAGGTGACGTCACACTAACGGTCGCTCCATGTTGAAGATAGGGCCTTGTACAAGGCCCATTTTCAAATGAAGGGAACGAATTTCTTCAACACCAAGAGGCCGCGGGGGTTGCAACCTAGATAGATAGTGGTTTCTGAACCTCGCCGCAAACTTGGCTATCTCAACTCAAACCCCATGTTAAAGGTGGGATAGTCCCTTCAAGTACTGTGGTTTCAAAGCACAAAAGTGATAGAACGAAGCGGATATATCCAGTATTTTCCGAATTTAGTATTTTCCCATAGGCTTAACATTACGACGTAATGACCTCTAACTGACCTCAGGTCAGTGACCTAAAAAAAAACCGAAATATATGTTATACAACTCGGTGAAATTAGCACATCCTGAAAGTTTGAAGGAAATCAGTCCAAAACTGTGAGTTTGACAGGTGCAAAAAGAAAACTGAAATTTGACCATGACCTTGTACCGGTTTTTCTGACCTGGTGACCTGACCCAAAGTTACCCGGACCTGAAATTTTCCGGTCCTATGTAAAAAGGCTGCCCCATAGGCTGCGCCAAATTTGGCGGCGCTGCGCGCCGCCGTTTATACGCTATCTTCGAAAAACCTTAGGGGGGTCGCATCGACCCCCCTGCCAGGGCGAGGGTTAATGCACGCTGCCTTCACCCTCGGACATATTTTAATGAAATTATTCAAGTTTCTCACATAAAGTGCGAGTTTCTAGTTATTCTCGTCAAGATCACGAGGCTTGCGACACAGGTCCGCCACGGACCAAAGTTTCGACAAGCGCAGCGGCTTCGGCCGATCACCGTAATGCAGCCGGTGGCACAGATTACACATGGCTCGGGGATACTGCACCTTGTGGGAGCTGCGCCATGCATGGTACTCCTCATAAGCCGTCTGATTGCGAGACAGCGCCAGCAGATGGGCGGCCAGAGCCTTGGGCCCGGCGAAATCCTCCACGTGGATGAAGGAGTTGGGCGGTGCCACGCGGTGGTAGGACTGCGGCGACGGGCCGCGCACCACCGGCACCATCCCGTACCGCAGCGCAAACCAGAACTTCTCTGTGATGTAGTCGTCGCAGAGACTGTTTTCGAAGGACAGGTAGAAGAGGTGCGTCTCGGCGAGGCGACGGTAGCAGTCATCTTTGTTGCCGGAACACTGTTGCTCGCCGCACTTGCCGAATGTGTCCACTGCAATGTGGTGTCGCAGCTGGGCGACGTATTGCTCCCTCTTACACACGGTGATGCAATGAGACACCATCCAGGCCACTGGCCGCACCCTGCAAAGACGTGGGGTGCCGGTCAGGGTGGTCCAACATGTGGGCGTACAGCTGCCGGACAATGGTCACGTGACCACTTGACCTTGAGTTGGCACCATATTTTGTCGACAGATATTGCGCTGTACATGCAGTGGCGCAACTTTTTTTAATGCAATATTTTAGGTTCTAAATATTAGGCATGCTATGCTAAATGATAAATACCTAGTATAGGAATAATCTTTAATATCGTCATTATTGAAACTTGAAATAATGGAAATAAAATAAATTGAACTGCGAAACTGTCTTAACCCTCGCATGTGTAGGGGGGTCGGATGGACCCCCATGCTTTTTTTGCGAATAACTCGCGTAAAAAGCGGCCGATTGCGACGAAACTTTCAGTACCCTCGCATTGATCAATTTATACCAACCATGAAAATTTCATGACCCTGACCCAAATGACCTTTGACCTGTGACCTCTTTTCCGAGACCATGTTTGGCCGGAATCGCGATTCAGCGTATGTCGGCTCGCATTAGCCGCGCGTTTGCAAGCTTCTCGTGGTTTCAAACGTTCAAACATGTGATTTGATGCTGCTGCCATGCATTATGGTGGGTGTCAATGTCACCTGAAGGTCAGGTCAGGTCATTGACCTTTGGTGCCCTCGGTTCACTTTTTCGAGTTTTACATGTTTCTAGGCTAGTTTTTGGAGCTGAATTCGAATTTAGCAACCATTTGAACATTTACGAAGTAGTTTTGGTGACTTCGTAACATGTTACGAAGCTGTCAGAGACGGTTGACACGTACTACGAATACCCGTCACGACGCCTACTGGTTGATTTGACCTGACTCGACCTGGTCCAAATGCTTTAACCCGCGCCCTGCTGGGGGGGTTTGAACACCCCTTTGTGGTTTTTCGCAAATATCTAAAAAACGGCGGCGCGGAGGGCCGCCGTTTTTGGTACACCTTATCATACATCAATTCTACACATGTTGTAAAAATTTCAGACTAAGGTCATTCAAGGTCAGGTCACCAGGTCACTTGAAGTGACCTCACCTCATAAAAAGTTTCAATGTCTGTCATAGCTACACCGAGTTACCGATCGCTTTGAAACTTTCAGCGATTGCTAAGAGCAATAGCGTGTACAAAATGTATACCTATCTCATAATTTTGATATCGATGACCTAAGGTCAGGTCAATTTTGCGACCTCGACATTATAAGTCAATGGGAGAAAATTGAAATGCGCCTCTTTTGGACGGATTGACATTATAAACACTCCCAAACACCGAATTACAAGTGCTTTAGACACACTGAACATGAAAATGGTGTCCGTGACCCTTGTTTGTGCCCTGAGGTCATCTTAGGTCACGAATGGTATCTAACAGTTTTTTTTCGCAAAAACCGTTTAATAGAGGCATGCTAGAGCGATGAAAACGCCTTATATGTGTTCAGCTCGACGATACGGATCGACTGATATGCAACATGACCCTTTCCGGTCAGGTCATGATCTTGACCTAAGGTCAAATTTTCAAGTTGACCTTTCAAGGTCAAGTTATAGTTCATTCGATGCGTCTTGACGAGAGGAACACGATGCCGATGAAAGTAAGCACGTACAAGGCTTGGGTCAAAAGTTATTGCAGAAAAACTGTTTCCGAAAAAATCGGCTATTTTTGCAGTTTTTGCCCCCTGCAGGCAAAACCGTTGACGTAACGTTAGATCAAATCTGAGAGAATTGCTCAGAAAGGGTGTTAACACGCGCAGTGAAAGGGTTGCGAGTACTACGCCCAGTGGAAGGGGGGGGGGGCGGATTTCGCCCCCCCTAAGATCTCAGCTCCCACTGGAGCTAGAAAGACGAAATTTGGAGGGTAGGTGGGGGCCCAAGGGAACTCTGTTGTGTGTGAATTTCATGACCCTAGGTCAATATCTTCAAGGTCAAATGAGGTCAAATGTGGTAAAATCTGCCATATGAGCTACTTTTTTGCGTTTACACGCCGATAACTCAAAAGGTTACGGGCCGATTTTCTTTTTTCTTTCACTATACGAAAGAACAAACATTTGTGAGTATGTATGGTGAATTTCTAGATAATCCAACAATAAATATGGCAGTTAGAAGCCTGCTAAGGGTAAGATGTCGCCGCCTGAAGCGGGATCGGCCGACGCGGGAAACGCGGCAATCACAATTTTGTGTTTACACACTCATAACTCAAGTTGTTACCGGCCGATTTTCACAATTCTTTGACCATATGATTGCTTGTACATTTCTCAGTCTTCTCACCGAATTTGACGCGAATTTAATACAATCAGCGATAAGGAGCTCGATGTAAAGACGTTACCATCCCGCCCCGGTACAGCCTACAATTCAGGCGGCGCGTAACGGCTAGCGCCGGCCGCCGCTCCGCCGCGCCGCCGCGGCGGCAGGATGTTTGACTTTACACCGCTATTACTAGAAAAGTTGTGAACCGATTTTCTTATTTCTTGCACGAGAAGATCCGCAATTCAATTTTGGACAGGTAGCCGAAATTTCACATTAATATTATGTTTGCCGCGCGAGTTATTGGCGAAAAACAGGAGGGGTGGGCGAAATCCGCCCCCACCTTCCACTGCGCGTGTTAACCCGCGCCCTGCTGGGGGGGGGGTGTTTGAACACCCCCCCTTGTGGTTTTTCGCGAATATCTAAAAAACGGCGGCGCTCCGCGCCGCCGTTTTTTGGTACACCTTATCATACATCAATTCTACACATGTTGTGAAAATTTCAGACCAAGGTCATTCAAGATCAGGTCACAAGGTCACTTGAAGTGACCTCACCTCATAAAAAGTTTCAATGTCTGTCAGAGCTACACCGAGTAACCGATCGCTTTGAAACTTTCAGCGTTTGCCAAGAGCAATAGCATGTACAAAATGTATATCTCAGAATTTTGATATCGATGACCTAAGGTCAGGTCAATTTTGCGACCTGACCAATGGGAGAAAATTGAAATGCGTCTCTTTTGGACGAAAGACATTATAAACACTCCCAAACACTGAATTACAAGTGGTTTAGACACACTGAACATGAAAATGGTGTCCGTGACCCCTATTTATGCCCTGAGGTCATCTTAGGTCACGAATGGTATCTAACAGTTTTTCGCAAATAACTTTTGATAGAGGCATGCTAGAGCGATGAAAACGCCTTAGATGTGTTCAGCTCGACGATACGGATCGACTGATATGCAACATGACCCTTTCCGGTCAGGTCATGACCTTGACCTGAGGTCAAATTTTCAAGTTGACCTTTCAAGGTCAAATTATAGTTCATTCGATGCGGCTTGACGAGAGGAACACGATGCCGGTAAAAGTAAGCTCGTACAAGGCTTGGGTCAAAAGTTATTGCAGAAAAACTGTTTCCGAAAAAATCGGCTATTTTTGCAGTTTTTGCCCCCTGCAGGCAAAACCGTTGACGTTAGGTCAAATCTGAGGGAATTATTCAGAAAGGGCGTTAATAGGGCTATCGAATGCGCTTTTCCGCGGCGCTGTACCTCTATTGGTTCCCGAGTTATGCGTTGGCTTCTTGGAAATTGTCGACATTCGACCTGGAAATCGGCGAAATTTTGCCTTCAATGACCTCTGGTGACCTGACCTTTGACCTGACCAAAAAATTGACTGAAGTGTTTTCCTCATTATTTTTGACGCTCTTTCGAACGCCGCCCTCCGCGTATCGCTACGTGGCCCAGGAGCCGAGTTAGAAGGGGGGTGTTCAAACACCCCCCCAGCAGGGCGTGGAAATCCAGGACCCCCAGCCGGGCGCTGGTTAATAGGGCTATCGAATGCACTTTTCCGCGGCGCTGTAGCTCTATTGGTTCCCCAGTTATGCGTTGGCTTCTTGGAAATTTTCGACATTCGACCTGGAAATCGGCAAAATTTTGCCTTCAATGACCTCTGGTGACCTGACCTTTGACCTGACCAAAAAATTTACCGAAGTGATTTCGTCATTATTTTTTACGTTCTTTCGAACGCCGCCTTCCGCGTATCGCTACGTGGCCCAGGAGCCGAGTTACAAGGGGGGGGGGGTGTTCAAACACCCCCCAGCAGGGCGTGGAAACCCAGGACCCCCAGCCGGGCGCGGGTTAAGACATCATCTGCGATCAAATCTAGCACGATATTCGTGATCAGCACCCCGAAAAACCCCTTAGCAGCCACACTTAACCCTATTAGTGGCAGGGGGGTTGTTTTTATCCACCCCTCAGGTTTTTCGGGAATATCTCCGAAACCGCTGAAGCTACGATGCTGAAATTTTCTGACTTTTCCTAAAACTAAATTGGGCACATTCCCTGAAAATTTCAAGTTCATAACTTTACCATGGGCGGCTCCAGAGCACTGGGAATTGGGGGTCCTATTCGTGAAGCGAGTCATTTGGGCGAAGATCACGATGCTGCACCAGTTTTACGAACAGTGAATGAAAGGTATCATGTGATAACATATACAAAGTTATTGTGCATCCTCTTTTGACACGTTTTTGCTATAATAGGCGGATCCAGGCGTCCAAAAAGGGGGGTTATTTTTTACCTCCCAACATAGGTGCCCTGACACCGCCTATGCATGACCAATACAATTTTAGTCGTTCTCTCATAAGAAAATTGTAACATAACAAGACCATTGCCACCCTTTTTAGAAACAGTACCAACAAAAACCTTATTTACTATACTTTTTGTGTACCCCCAATCTCAATGATCTGTATCCGCCTATGATTTTTGAAAATGCATATTTTTAGGATCCATGTAAATTCCTGGTTCATTCTCTATCGATCGGCAAAAGTTGCGTTAAGATTGGTTCAGAAACCTGGCCGTGATAAACAGTCTAAAATGTATCTGCAATTTGCCCGTTTTTACCCCCCTCTACCCCCCTATTGACATTTTTTAAGTTTATTTTTTTTAGAAATGTAGATCTCGTTGAGCCAAATCGAATGCCGTTTGAATTTTGAAAATCGGCCGGTTAGATCTCGAGATATCAAGGGGGGTCGTAAACAGCCCCCCCTGCCACTAATATGG